CTGCTTCTAACACCATTTGGGACTATCTGTTGGTGCACAGGGACCTCCACCACGTGGCTGCATGCTGGGTGCCCTGAGCAGCCTCAGCTCCAACTGGCTGCTCCTGTAGTCATAGAGACACAGCCCTCAGAGAAATCAGAGTCAATTTAGGCACCTAATGCTGGGATGCCTGAGAGTGAATTGGTTTTGAATTAATCGAGTAAAACAAGGCAGTGAAAACCCATGGAACATGTTGGTCTGGAAACTGCTGCAGCCCTGGGGATGGAGCGACAATGCATACTTTACCCCTTGAATTTTTTATTAAGGGCTGTTTTTTTTATTATTATTATTTTTTTATTATTGAATATGAATATTTTACACGTCCAAGTTCAGAACAATGCTTTTTTTGGCTGCCTCTGCACTTTTCATGGTTGTGTACCCTTGCATTGCATAACTGAGAGAGATCCATTTACACACAGGGGAAAGGGGACTAATGAATCTCAGCAACGCTCACTTTACTGTCTGTGAAAAAAAGTGCTCTGAAGTATTCCAAATTAAAAAAAAAAAAAAAAGATAAAAAAAAAGTCCACATATAAAATAGTTGCAAAGAATGGCTTAATAAAATCGGCGTGTGCATGTGTGCACATGTGGGTGCACGTGTGTGTGCAATGCCTGCAGAGCTGAGCATCACCACGGGGACACAACAAGGCTCCTGGCCCTGCATGGCTCTGCTCTATTGGTGCTGTGCTCAGAACCACCTGTCCACCCATCACCATCCTTGTGCTGTGCTCACATAGCCCAGCACGGACCAGGGCAGGGGATGGGAGATTGAGTAATACAGATAATAACTATTTGTCTAGTGGGTATTTGAACCCGGCCTTATTATTGTGCAGATGACAACAGGGAGGAGAGGGGGAAAGCAAGAGCTCTTGTGCATTTCTCAAGAGCTCATGGGCAGGGTGACAAGAACTGCATTGTTTTGGGTAATCAGCGCGCATTGTCCCAGGCTGACACTGCTGCATACCAATAAAACCTTTAGATTCACAGGGAATAGGGAAAGTGCAAAATGATGAATTGTTTGACATTTAGAAGAAAATAAAGGGCTGTTGCTGAACTGAAACTTAAATGAGACTTGGGGAGGGAGGGAGGGAAGGAGGGCAAAATTACTGGGAGCAGGTTGAGATGCTTACGTGAGCTTAGTGCAAACTTGCCCGATGATTTTGTGTGTCTGATCTTCAGCAGACTGCAGCTACTTTCCGAGGCCAGGCAGATCCCAGGCACTCACATGTACTGTGTGCCCAGAGGACGGGTGGGGGCAGATCAGAGGGATCACTTTTTGTGCCATGAGGGCGAAGGGAATGCGGTCCCCAATCACTGACACATCTTCAATGTGAAAATGCAGTCTAACTGGAGTAATGAATTCCCAGTGCCCTGCGCGGTGATGGAAGCACAAGGTGACCAAGGACTGGAGGGGCTGATAAAGTCTCCTGGAACACATGCCAACGTCTGCTATCTCATTGCGTGCCCTTGACAAAGTCACGTCTCCGTGGTAAATGGAAGCAGCCAGGCCAAGCCAATACTGTGGGTGCTACATACCTGTAATAACGGTTTGTTGAATGATTTTCGGCTGCCAGGAGCTGAGCCAGGTCCCTCGATGTCAAACCGCTTTGGTAGCAGTGAATCCATTCCGGATGGCACTGGGCAGCACTGTGCTCTGCAAGGTGACACTGCTACAGGCACGCGCAGCTCTGCTAGGTGTCACTCTCCAAACACGTTTTGTGTCTGCATCACTTGTGCAGCTCTCGCCTGTGCTGCTTCGCTTCCCTCCTTCCTGACAACCACCTTGACTTGCACACTCTCTGGGGTTCCCTCTGCTCTCCAGCACTCTGCTGTTTGCATTCGTATTTGCATTAGATTATTGGAGCAGGAGTCTAAACACTTAAGTTACTGCAAATCCCTCCTCATATGGAAGTCAGTGAGCTGTAAAATATTTAAACTGCCTACAGTTGTACCTCGTTTGTTTACACATATCCAGTGGGCTGCTAAAAGGTAACATACTGTAATAGAAGAAAGATCCAAGATTGCTGATTCAGATTTCATAACAGTTCTGAAAGCGCCCTGCATACTTGCATTAACTTGATGCAGCAATGTGTAGCTCCACTTTCTGAAGCTGCAGGGCCTGAGCGAAGCAGCAAAGAGATGTGTTTCACCCCAGGCCCATCGCTTTGTGCTCCAAAGTCACCCACAGCTCACTCTCCCCTCCTTGCCCACGTTCTCTGCTTTTCCATGTCCCCCTCCTCTCCTGCTCACCCTGCCGGGGAAGCACTGCAGAGCTGGGAGCAGCTGAGTATGGGTTAGATGTGGCCCCATTCACAGCACTTGTTAAGTCTTGTAGATCAGGAAAACAGCACCGGGATTCTTCAAAGCACAGGGAGGAGCAGAGGGATGGCTGATCAGTCCCAGGGCAGCAGAGGGCATCAATGAGTTTGAAGATTCACCTCCAGCGCGGAATGAAAGCAGACACGAGGCTGAATAATTCACAAGGCAGATTTCTTCTCTTTTCCTCCTTGCACTTGTTGGTCTTGAGTGAACCCAGCAAGTTCTCAGATATATTTTGGGGGTTTCTGAAACAATTTCTGAACGACACATAAATCACAGCGCTAATTAGTTTCACAAACGATGAGAAGATTTCTATTGCCTGATTCAATGCAGTGCATGTATTTGCAGATGTAGATAAAGACGATCTCTGTAAATACACCATTTCCTTATGCTAGAATATTAGCTAAATCCCACAGGTGGGCAATGTTTTACGTGATGTGACACAGCAAATCACGCGGTGAGGCCACAGATGATGCAGAGGTGCTCTGGGTCTACAGCAGCCAGACCCACTTGTTTCCATTCTGTGGGCAAGACCAAATATAGAGGCTCAGTCCTCTCTGAGCTTCTCTAGAACTGCTAGAAGCGATGGTGAAGGGTCAGCAAGCCCCATGGGCCCTCTATTTCTCCATCAGAGGTCTCCTTCCACTCTTTGGAGGTTTACGGTGCGTGGCAGGGAGCCAGCCCCCCAGGCATGGGCTGGAGGTGCCTCGTTCTCAAGTGTTTAAAAGTCTGACAAACTGTTTGCAGTTCTAGCAGGGATCAACACGCTCCTAGAATTAAAACCAACATCTTGGAGAGCAGAAATGCTCTGAACAAGGATTCTTTCTTCAGCCCAATGCACAAGGGATCTTTCTTTACTAAGCTATAAAATCACTTACTACAAATCAATTATTTTTTGTACTGATTTATTAACTGCTCTCCAGCTGTTCAGATTGGCACTTAAGACAATTCCTGGACAGTCATACTTCTCAATAGAATTTCCTCTGGAGTACTGTTGGTCCAACTTCATTGTAGTCTTCCCTGCTCACCCACATGTTGCGAAGCGATGTCAGGTTGGCGAGCAACGAGGCGCCGATCCACACGGAGTGCATCCGATTTTTTGGCGAGATGATCTTGATGGGGGTCATGCTGGGGACTTTTGCCTGGAGCTCCTTCAGGAGCCTCTCCTTGAAACCTCGGAAAAGAGTGGAGCCGCCCACGAGCACCACGTTCCTCAGGACGTCCGCCCGGATGTGCGCGTTGCACCTGGCAGCGCTCTGCAGGATCATCCCCACCACCCCTGCTCCTTGCATTTGCACCTCTGCGGGTGCAAAAAGCGCCTCAGGAGCTCGGAACAGCTGATCTCCCACCTTGACAGTCCTTCCATCAGGGAGCACGTACTCACACATCAGATTTTCAGGCTTTTGCTGCATTTTTTTAATAGGATCTAAAGCGACGTAGCACAGCTTCTCCTTCATATCCCTGACTATCTCCTTCTCCGTTGCGCTCACGAAAGAGTGCCCCGTCTCCAGGAGGAGCCTGGCCAGGTACTTGGTGACCCCTCTGCCTGCAAAATCCAGCCTGGTAACGGCCTGCAGCAGGCAGCTGCCTCCATGGATGGGGACGGTGGCGGTGACGCCGTCTCCGCTGTCCAGCACCATGCCGGTGGTGCGGGCGCAGGCATGGAGGGCCGCCAGCCCCTGCAGGGCCACGTAGAGCGCGGGCACCTGGAAACTCTCAAACATCAGCTCAGCCATCTTCTCTCGGTGGGATGGGGGGTTGAGGGGGGTCTCGGTCAGCAGCACCGGCCCCTCGCTGGGTTTCACTCCGAGCTCGTGTTCGTACAGGTATCTCCAGATCTTCTCCATGTTGTCCCAGGATGTCACCATTCCGTTTTCCATTGGGTAAGTCAAAGACAAAATGCCTCTTTTGGACTGGGCCTCCTCCCCAACGTACCAGTCCCTGTGTTTCATCCCAATCATGACAAACGTGAATTTGGGGTACCCCACAATGGTAGGAATAACCGAACGGGGTGCCTGCTCCCCTGACAGCCCGGCCTTGCACTGCCCAGAGCCATTGTCAAAAACTACCACTGGGGTCCCGGCTGCCGCCGTGCCTGACATTGTGCACAGGATGGGCAGCACTGCAGCACCCAGAAGAACCCGAGCATTCTGTCCCTGCATCACAAGAGGGCACAGCCCCACCGAGCTCACAAAGCCCACAGTGGCATCTGCAATGGGTGCTTGGGAGGGAAGCTGGGTGTTCACACTTCCCTGATAAATTGCGGCAGAGAATCAATGAATTTTTTCAGGCCCTCAGGCACAGAGGAGGGTCGGCTACAGTAATTGCATTTGCATTGATTTATATTTGGATTCTGTTTGGGGGTTTGCTGGACTTCGAAAGGAAACATTTTTAATGAGGTTAGAAATAACATGCGATCTAGCTTTAGAATAGAAAAACCCAGATATTGCAAAGAGCTCAGAGGGAAGAACCTCCAGCAGAGGAGGTGTGCTGCCTCCTGAGTGACTCCTAGAGAGGCTGTGCGTCACCTGGGTGCCACTGCATCCCTGTGACTGTGAGGAAAGGAAAGGGAAGAAATGGTGAGGTGTATAAGCAGTGCTCCCCTTGGAGAAGATAAGCAGTAAGAGGAGTCAAAGCCCCGGTTAGCAATGATTTCATGTTTTATTTCCACAAAGGATTTGTCAGCCGGGAAATGAGCAGCAGTTTTAGCCCCCTTCTGCTCAGTCAGCCCTCATCGGGGCTTGTTGTTCATGCTTTGCTATGAAGACATCCACATGGCCTGATGTTCTCCTTAACATTTCCTGTGGACGACAGCTGCCCCAAAATCCCTGTAGTCCCTCACAGTGATCCACATTGATTTGAAGGAGGTCAGGCAGGAGAGGATGGAGGCCCCGACCCACACGCTGTACTTTCTCTCGGGGGGTGCAACGATTTTCACGAGCATGCCCACAGGCACTTGCAGGTGCAGCTCCTTCAGGATGCGCTCCTCCAGGCCAGGGAAGAGCGTGGATCCTCCCGAGAGCAACACGTTGCCATACAGATCCCTGCGCACATCGATGTCGCACTTTGTGACGCTGTTGAAGAGCATTTTGTGCACACCAGGCGCCTCAATGCCGATGTTTCCAGGTACGAAAAGGGTCTCTGGTGCACGAAACAGCTGGTTGCCTATCTGAATGATGTTGCTGTCAGGTAATCTGTATTCTTTCATGATCTCTTCTGGACTTGCTTTCATTTCCAGACTTGGGTCCAAAGCCACGTAGCACAGCTTCTCTTTGATATCCTTCACGATTTCCCTTTCAGCAGTGCTAACAAAAGAGTATCCGCTCTCCAAAAGGAGCCTCATAAAATACTCGGTGATATCCCGGCCAGCGATATCCAGCCTGGAGACAGCATGGGGCAGGCAGTACCCCTCGTAAATGGGGACGGTGTGGGTGACGCCATCCCCGCTGTCCAGAACTATGCCTGTGGTGCGGGCTGACGCGTAGAGGGCCAACGCAGCCTGGACTGCGATGTACATGGCGGGCACCATGAAGCCCTCAAACATGATCTCCGTCATTCTTTCCCGGTTCTGCAGAGGGTTGAGGGGGGGTTCTGTCAGCAGCACGGGTCTTTCGCTGGCTTTCACTCTCAGCTCGTAGTCATAGACGTGTCTCCAGATCCTTTCCATGTCATCCCAGGATGTAACGATGCCGTGGTCAATGGGATAATTCAAAGTCAGGATGCCTCTTTTAGACTGAGCTTCTTCTCCTACATAGTATTCTTTCATCCCAGCCCCCAGCATTGCAGATTTGACTCTCGAGCGACCGACAATGGATGTGATAACTGACCTTGGGCCACCGTCACCTGCGATCCCCGCCTTGCACAATCCAGACCCGTTGTCAAAGATTACTGCTGGGACATCCAAAACGCTGGGGTCAAACATTCCTCACAGAGCTGACAGCCCCCCAGAGCAGCTCACTGGCAGCGTTTTTCTATTTTTTCAGTGTTTTCACTGAGTTTTAAAGGTTGGTCACCGTTGCCAGGGCAGCCTCCTTGGGGGCGTGCAGCGTGGGGGTGGGCATGTCTGCCCCCAGCTACCTCATAAAGGCCAGTGATAGAATAATATATTTCCCTGCAAGATCCAGCATTCCAGACACTTCCCTGGAAATGGCTAGGGCAGCTGTGCCACGACTGCAGCCAGGGGAACACCCATTCACAAGTCCCATCATAGATCACAGACCATCAAAGGTATCCCCGTACTGAGCATCACAGCATCTGTTTCTCAGAAGGGCAGGTATTGCAAAATACATTTATGGCAATAATAAAAGGCTTCGCACGTACCATGGCTTAGCTGCTTACACGTAACTCTAAGAGCTGGTGAAGATTAGGATCGTTTTGGCTGCCTACAGGTGCTAACTGCATTGCTAGTTTGCTTTTGTGCAGAGCATCTGCACTGTAAGAAGGCATTTTTCAATAAATACTTTTATAGGAAACTTCTGAAAAATACTTTTAAATAGGTAGAACTACATTGGGCAAGACTATTTTTGGGTAAAAACACAGAAGTGAAAAATAATCACTGCCTCTTGCTGGTTTAAGAATTCCCATCAGCTTTAAGCCCACACCGTTTGGTGAGAAGGAATCCCCTTCCCTAATGAACCTCTGTGCTAGGCTGCTGAGAAGCCAACCTGCCTGCAAACAGGCACACAGCTGTCCTCCCTGCAGGCCTCCCTTCCCCTTCAGCACTCTGCTGAACTCTTCAATGGAACGTTTTGAAAAAGGGTTACAAATATCCTGGATCCTCACAACCGATCCCCATTTCGCCTCTCATTATTTTTTCCTTTTGCTTCAGGACAAAATTTCCCACAGAAGGAAGTTTCTGTGCTTTCGAATCCAATTGGGTTTGACAATCCAAATCCACTTACAGAGAAAATTTCCTCTAAAGAAAAAAAGTCTCTATATAACTTCAGATCGAACCCTTGGCTGCTGCAGCCTAATTGCTTCTCCTTGTGGCTCTTAATCCAGGGCAGCTTCAAAGCCAGGGTGGCTTCTATTAAATTTAATTACTTTTTCTTGCAGCTTGCATGGCAGAGGTGCCAGCTACTAAAGGAAGGTGGCTATGAATCAGGGGCAGATTCCAAACAAAGACATACTTTAAACAGAAATGTTAAATGCAAGCAAATGATCCCCTTGTACGGCATTTACACCCCAGATGAACCACTAAAGAGGAAAACAAGGGAGCAGCTCAGTGTGTGTTATTTCCATCCTGCCTGGATTGCAGACCTGTTGGCGTTTAACGCCACACTCTCCATTTTAGCAATTTCTCTAATCCTCTTAATATTTGTGTACATATATTTCAGCATGGCACACTTGTTTTCATGCATGCTTCTATATTAATGTCAACAGGTGTCCTAATCACTTAAGACGCTGCTATATTCATCACACTGGAAGCCCCATTTAGTCCCGCATGGTCTGCCTGTGGCTTGCAGGGAAGCATTCTGTTTGGAACATGATGTTTGGTATTAAAACAGGGGAATATTGACTGTGATCATTAAATGGCAGTTGAACCTAGGTGCAGGAATGCTCATCTGTTCCTTCATATTGCTTCTGTCATAAATCGCCTTAAAAAAGGGTGTGTGGGAGTTGATTTTGTTGCTGTAGGGTTTATGATAGAGTGATATTGCTGCTTCTGTTCAGCAGAAGCACTGTGAGCTGCCCTCACAGAAGAGACACTGGGTTGTAAAAACCCAGAGATAGCAAAACATGCTGGTGTGGGGCCATTCTTGCTCGCTTTCTATATCTGTGCTGAGCATGTATTTGCACTTACTGGCTCAAGCATGCCCTCGTGCTTCGCTGCATCACGTCACTGCTGGGCTCCATCCTCCTCCATGGGCGTCTTCTGTGTGATCCAGGCTGTGATGCACTCTGGAAGGTCCCCATTTCCCTGTGGTAAAACCAGTGGGAGAAGGATCAGCTACTCAGCCTGTGCCCACACAAACCTCACACATGTAGCATCCATAGTGGAAGGAATAAAAACCCAGAAAGGATCACCAGCAGAAAAGAGACACAAGCAGGACCAGGCACTGGCTGAGAGATGCTCCTCTCCCTACTTTGCCACGCCAGATTATTTTGGGATCTTCCTCACTTTTTCTTTCTTAATTACAACACAATTAATTAGCAACACAAACCTTATGTTCAGAATACCACCACATATGGGGGACACACAAAGGAAGGTGTTCACCCTTCGCTGTGCCCTAAAACCCTCAACTGGTGGCTCAGTGCACACAGGGGTGGAAGGCCAGGCAGAGAGTGAAAGGAATCAGGGGCAGAACGAGCTCCCAGCCAGCACGAAGCAGTAATCACCATCACAGATGCTTAGCTCTAACAACTCAACAAGACCCCTTTCTTCACATAGGAGCTGTGTTTGATTGCTCCCATACTTGTTTCCATCCAAAATCCCCGTTTCGCAAGGTCTTCGTGACACTCCAAATATCCACAATGCTCTTTGAAGTTGAATTTTAATGTGTTTATTGACACCAGTTATGATATTTCAAAACATATGGCCTACAAATTGTTACCATGCACTCCTGGTGTTTACAGTAATCCCCGTATTAAAACAAACTCAGCCTTTCCTGATGATTTTATATCTTCTTGCTGACTCACTTGCCTGTGTTTATTTAAACTCCTGTTGAGCTTTTTTTCAATATATATATATACACATATATATTCAACACTTTTGAAACACGGAACAACTATCTGCAGATTTCATATACTTCAGAAACGTTTTGCATCCATTTTTATGGGCACCACATGGTCCAAACCCTCCTCTTCAGTCCTCCCTGCAGATCCTTGATGTGCAGCATGGCTTCTTCCCAGCCCTTAACCCTGCACATGTGGTTCATGCCTGATCATAGAACCATAAGATCATTAAGGTTGGAAAAGACTTCCAGGACCATCCAGTCCAAAACCACCCAGCATGCCCACTGCCCACATCCCTCACCTCCACCTCCGGGGATGGGGACTCCCCCATGAGGCTGTGCCTCTGCTTCATCACTCTTTTAGAGAAGAAATGTTTCCTACTACCCAACCTCATCCTCCCCCAGCACAACGTAAGGCCATTCCCTCTCATCCCAGCAGCTCGGCCCAGAGCTGCCCTCTGAGCTCTGTGTTGGAGTCTGCAGGAAAGGAAGGTTTTGGAGGAGCACGTAACTGCTCATCCAAAAGGGTTTGCTCAGATCTTCCTTCCTTTCATCCATCCCATGAGGGCACCTCTGCTGTGCTGACTGACATCAGGAAGGAGAGAGCGCAGCCCAACCCCATTAATGGCCCCAGAACATTTCCAGGCCCTCTGGAAAGCAATGCTGAACAGAGGTGTTAATTTTGGCAGCGAACAAAAGCACCGGGGGAGTAAAATCAATGTTCACTAAATAGAAAAAAAGGAATCTAAACAGAGGGAAAACACATTCATTTTCTAATTCCTAAAAGGTATTCAAGGGAGGGAAGTGAAATTGTAAACAAATTATAAAATGTATAAAAAATTACAACTCGTTGCCCATTTAAAGGAGACTTAAATTACTACACTGCTAAATTGGAACAGCTCTGAGGACTCAGTCATGCTCCTCTACTCTTTAGACTCACAAAGTCTCGCTGGTATCTCTAGGGGTGCCTGGATTTAATAGTAACATCTAAAATGCTGTAAACCCTGCAAGTGATGAACAACTGGGAAGGTGTGGAACCCACTGGGATTCAAAGTTAATTCAGACAATTTGGAATTCAGCATCTGAGGACTACTCAGACTTACGCTATTTTCCACGTTGGGAAAAAAATAGAAGAGCTATAGCGAGGAATGATATAAATTATGCATGCATAAAAGACTTTGGGTTGAAAATTAATACATTTAAAATAAATAGTCTTAGTCATTTGAAAATGAAAAGCCCAGGAAACTGAATCAGGTAACACAATTTCACCAAGCTGAGCTCCAATCATTCAGCCACAAATGAACCTTTCCAGGGGAAATGGCAAAGCTGAGGCCACTGAGAGCTCCTGCTCTACAGGCTGCCCATGAAGAATTACAGGAGGAGGGGAACTGCGGTTGGACTTGATGATCTGTGGTTGGACTTGACGATCTTTAAGGTCTTTTCCAACCTGAGCAATTCTGTGATTCTATGAAAGTCCCCTACTCCAGATCAAGGGTGGTGTTCCAGCTCTACCCATACCAGAGCCTTTGCAAAAGACAGCAGTGATGCTGGGATTTTGAGAGAGGAAAAAAGGGAAAGCAGAGCTCTACCCTTGGAACGCTGTTAACTCAGCACTAAACGCATCCTGAGCCGCTTTGGAATCTCGTTGTTACTTTCTATAGCCAAGTGCCATTACTTCTAACTGTGCTCCGATGGCTGCTGGACTTGGGTTTATGCTCAAATCGTTAAAAGCTGCATCTGAGGTATGAAAGCAACAAGTGGAAAGCATTCCCATGAAATATGCAAGATCTCTGGAATTGAGCCAGTGGTTTAGGTCAAAACTCAGTCACATGTCCTGCTAGCTGGTCCGGAACATCCTTCACATCCAGCTAAGCAAACAGCGCGCAGAGCCCTGCGCCAAGTGCCAGCTCCAGCTGGCATCCCGGTATGCTTCATTCTACAGTTGTTGCAGTTTTGGAGGTTATGAAAAGTTTACTAATGAGAAACATTTCAGGATGCTGTGCCAGCAATTTGGGCTGAGGGAAGAGCCGTAATGACACGAGCATATATAACTGGTGGAAAGTCTGAAACATCAGCTCTGCGCCTGTAAATCCCAGCAGCTCCGAACACGGAGAGCAAGCACACAGATTTCTCTTCAGATGTTTACACTGTGCTTTCTAAATATTTAAAACCATTGATGAAATTAAAGACAACTCTCACCATGTTTTGTTCCTCAGTTATTTGGTCCGTTTCGGTGCTGTTCTTCTGTAAACATGAATCTGATACAGCCAAAGGGAGCACCAAGCAGCCAGGCTTTCTTAGCAAACAGTTTCAGTAATCTACAGGAATCCAACCGACCTTCCCAAATTCCGTGGGAAGCAATGCATTGATGTGATTTCTAAGGAAGAAACCCTTGCAAGTGATGCTGGCTGTGCACCA